GAGTTTTTGCATGGATGCTGCTAAAGACATGTCTAATGCTTAAGTCCCAGGAAGAACTAAAGACACTGACAAATACCTTGGAATTACTGTTCTGAGTTATCACACCTTTCCACTCATATGCAACACGCGTATGTCTTAGAGGTGTTTCTCCCTAAGATAGATACACAGCTACTTTTAATGGCTATTCCCTCTGAGGGTAGAGCCAGGTCAGTTCTCCCTTTTGCCTAAGAGAACCCTTGTGACATGTAGTGCTACTGGGCTACAATCATTAAATAATGAATAATTAATAAATGATAATTATTCTTCAGTAGTTGTACAGCTCTGAAAGGGAACAAATCGACAATGAGGCCAAATCACATCTGAATCTGATCTGCTTTCCTCTTCCCTTTCTCTCCTATCCCCACCTCTCCCAGTTCCTTCTTGTTTACAAGCGCGTGGTAGACGTTACTGTTGCTCTCATTTAAGGACTTGAGCCCAACATCAGTGCAATTTTTCCAGTAACGGGTTCAAAATCAGTGTGCATGCCATTTATCCCTGTTTTCCTCATCTAGATATGCAGCAAAGTTAATAATGAACTTGGGACATAGGTAGATTTATTGTCAGACAGCTCCGAATGAGAATTATAAACCTAGTATTGATTATCTATCACGTGGAAATAGAAGGGATTTGATCTGTAACCAGAATGTATTCAAATGCAGGCAGCTTTGATGACATTATCATCAAACACTTTCAGGTAAACAAATTCGGTTAATTTAACAAGTCACGATTTTCAAATAATTTTACTTCCAAAACAAGATGTATGTGGGGGGAAGAAAGGAAATGCAAATCAGAATTGATGTTGGAAAGATACTGGATTCATAATGAGATTCACAGGAGGAAAAGATAGGAAGATGATAGCTGTTTTTATGCTCCCATGTAATTCTGAGTCTCTAATCAAAATGCGTGTCCTGAACCGGAAAGTTAGAATTATTTCCCAGATATTAGTGTTAATGTCAGAATTTAAATGGAAAACAGTAAGTAAAAAAAATACAATTTCTCAGCAGCCTAGGACAAGTATATTAGTAAACAAATGTTTTCACTTCTTCATACTGTCTTTTCAGAAGACTTGTGAGGGTAATACTGGCAAGGTCCTTGCCTTGTAAGTCAAGTTCACTTTATTCCATTGCAGTCTTACAGAGAAACACACAAAGGAATGTCTCCCAATTTTAAATTAGATTGCCAATAATCATTTGTAAATCAATTTAATTAATTAACAATACATTCTAAACACTTGTAGTCCCTTAGACTAATTTAATTCGTGTCACTGTTTCTCTACGACTTATTTCACTTGCGGAGGCACTGAGAATAGATCTTCCCTTACAGTATGAAATGTGACTGCACCATCTTGTAATTTAAGTACCAGAGACATAGCTTCCAATACAAAACTGTATTAAAGACTATACAGTAGGTGGAGGGATATAGCCCATAATTTCAGAGCACAATAAAACGTGTGTCATGCTTGCAACAAGAACCAATGGTGCAGACAATGTCACATTAGAAGGTATAATGTTCAGCACACTATCAAAGAGATATTTGAACAAGAGTAGAGAAATTTTCTAGACGCTTAGAGATGTCATGTTTGTAAAAAAAAAAAAAAAAAAAAGAAAAAAGAAAAACCAACCAAAAAAACCAAACCCAACTTACAGCCAGTGACATCCAAGATGTGCCACATACAAAATCAATACTTTGTTTTTTGTTTCTGACTACAAAATAACATTTTCTTCCCTTACTGTTATTTAAAGGTAGACTTTCTGATGGTGCCTGACTACTTAGATATGCTAAATAATAAGTTCATATTCATATGTAATGACTTAGAACATTTGTTATATGCTGTGAACATCAGGATTGAATTTAATTGGGATTTTCAGATATTCTTAGACAATCCACTTTTAACACCAAAATGGATACGTTAAGTGTTGCTTAAAGCTAAAACTTCTTACCAAAGTCAACTGTTTGTATAATACTCCATAACAGTTACAATTCACAATACTTTCTTTGACACAATTTCTTTGTAAGCCATCTTTGCTTTTCACGTGCACAAAATCCCCCAGAACCTACTATGCACCAAGCAGCAGTGCAGTAATACTCAAGGAGGATTAAAGGACTAAGACTGAGTACTTCCTAAATGCTGCTGCTTGAGCTGTTGTTTTAAACAGCAGAAAAACAACATACTTGTCTCTTCCAAGCACTGTTTTAGAGGTATAAAGATATGCACCTGAAATGTATCCAGAATTAGAGAGATCTTGCTAAACATCTTGCAAAGTATCTCCAAATTGTACCTGTAAGGCAGGCTGACCTTCAGAAGATATAGAAGAGCTAGTCCATGATTCCTGCACCTTATGTGTCTGTTCTTTAAAGCTTTAGGCAGGAATTTTGGCATCTGTTTTTTTTGGAGGATAATTCAGTGCAATGAACTTTAAAATAAGGCCAGGGAAGTATGTATCCTAATAAACTTGATGACTGGTTTGATAGACTGCAAATCAGACATCTGATTTTCACAGAAACATCTGGAGGAAACTCCAAATGCTCTGTGCTCAGTTCTGAATCTTTATGAGTTAGTTCATGGAATTTTCAATGATCTTTTCATCCCTTTTGAACAGAAATACAGAGAAGAGAGCGTGTGAACCAGACAAGGGTTTGCTTAAACAATGGCTACACGGATACATGCTGTTTCTCAGCATTGTTTTAGCATTTAAATTTCAAACCTACTTCATCCACTTCTGGCAAGACTTAGCCTCTGGGGGTCTTACCCACAGGTACTCAGAATTCATAGTCGTCAAGGAGAGACAGATTCACAAAGAGAAAGGGCGCTGTATCTCCAGCGTCTGCTGGTACTTTGTTCAGACTGAGGTGAGGAAACAAAGCAGAAGGTTGCTGAAAACACAGATGCTCACATTTTTTTTGCTAGAAACAGAACAATGATTTCTTTTTACCACAAATCACAGGTTTTCCCTTACTAATGCTTCGCTTTAGACTTTCAGTGAAGGGCTGATGGCAGTAAAGAAACACATAGTTAAGCAAGTCTGAACTACCGGTGGAAAGGCTTCATTTTTCTCTCCTCTGCCCTCTTACTGATTTCATGATTACTGAGAGAATTTGGGCCTGTAATGGTCAGAGAGGTCCGGAGGAACTGGAACCAGATCAACGGTGAGCTTTTATTCACATTTATCAAGTGACCGATTCATTATGGGATTTCCAGGGAGCCTCGGGAAGAACTGGAACTAGGCTAGGAAGGGAGGTCACGCCAAACTGACATCTTGCCAGAGAAGTGATTCCCATTATGAAAAGTCCAAATAATGAGAAGTCCTAGCTACTGAAAGATGTAAAACTTGGATAATGCAACATCAGAAGATTGAGCTCTTCAAAAAAAAAAAAAAACATTATTTTTGTTTTCCATTTTCTGGGATTCTTTAGGGGTCATGCTTCAAAACTTACAAGAATATTTTAGAAAAAAGAATTTGAGATCCTTGCAAAATTACCTGACAAGAAACACCAGCTCTTCAAAAGCATCACCAGATATAAAAATTGCACAAGCTTAAAGTTCGGTAAACCCTATATTTAGCAGCACAAGTCTGCTAAACATTGCTTTGGTTCTTTTTTTCCTCCCATTTTACAGCTCTCACTTCATGTCTTAAGGCCAGCGGGAGTGTTTCCTACAAAAAAAAAAACTGAAGGATTTTTCACTGTCTGCAGCTGCAGACCTCCAGAAAATACTGTTTTCTGGATTGTATTCTGCTACTGAGTTCACTATATCACCGCTGCAGTTGTGCAAGCTGTAAGCAAAAGGCAGCAAGAGAGGAAATAGTCACATAAAGCACATTGATCCAATCCTTGTTTAGTTGAAAACATTTTTAAAAGATTTCTCCCTCCTCTTTTCCAATATATTTGTCAACACATTGAAGATGGCTACCTGTGCTTCCTTTTGCATTATATTCTCTCACCATTCAGACTATTTGCTCTCTGTCATACCACTACAGCATTTACAATTTTCATCTCCATGCTCACCATGGGTATTTTCTCAAAAGAAGTAGAGATGTTCCTTTTCAGAAAACACCTGCCTTCATATCATTTTTCTACTGCCAGGTCTCAGTAATGTTTTCTTTTAAGAGTAACCTGGAGAATTGGAACTTTTAAGAGTTACCTGGAGAAAGGCAACGAGGACACTCCCACTGACTTTGGATCACAGCCTAAGAGACTTCCATGAAAGGTATATTGAGAATATTTTTAGTAATCTGCAGCTATTTTCATTTGCAAAAGTTGCTTTGCTTGTGGCCCAGAAAAAAAAAGGAGTACAAAAGATCCTGACCTTGCAAACACTAGCCTTTGTGAGTAATCCTCTCCTGTGTAAACAGCCAGCCTGTCATCAGGGGCTTTATTTGCCTAAGCCCTTGCACATGCGTTAAAGCTTTATGTTAGAGCTGTTACAGACACTGAAGTTATGTGTCATCTTGTAGTTTCCTAATAGTGATTTGATTTAAGTTATATGTGAAACATAGGAAATAATATTTTAAAAAAGGAATGAAAACATAATACAAGCACAAAACAAATTTGCTTATACACAGAATTTAAGAAGACCAAATAACTTTTCTCATGAAGAAATACCGTGCCTAGATATATTTTGCATGTCAGTATTCCACTGCCTGGGACTTGACTTAAACTGTCCTTTAGGCATCCTTAGATCTCAAAATGCAGCCCACTGAAGTAAACCAGCAAAGAAATATGTCTTAGCATTTACTTCCTATTATCTTCATGTAAGAGAGATTTTGCTTAGAGGTAAGAAGTTCATACAAATGAAGCAATAGCTCTAAAAAAAAAAAACCAAAACCCAAAAGCCCCCAATAAATCAAAATTTGGAAAGGAAATGAAAGCAGCATATATTACACAGCAGGGTTTCCTTAAATAGTATTTAGTACTCAGGCATTTATTATTTTTAATCTTTAAAAGGAAAAGCAATGTATCACCTGAATGGGTCCCAGCTGGATGTACCTTTGTCTCTTGATGAAAGCAGCTGACCATTTCAGCAAGCAGCTAAGGAGAAAGGGTATGTTTAAGCACCACTTCATTTAAGCTTACCAGACAAGACTCATACAGCAAGCAATCACAAGAATGGCTGATACTAGTATTTGCTTCTAACACCATCCTGTGACACCATGACTGAGTTAAGAGGATGCTATCTAGCTTTTAGAAGCACAATCCACTGAGAAATCATCGTTGTCTGTAACAGCAAGAGGTTGAATAGCAGTAACACAGAGCAGAGGCTTTATATAACTATGTAAATGTCTATGTGTATACACACACACAAATGTAAACCTTAGGGTTCATTTTTAGGGTTTCTGCCAGCTGACCATTACAAGGACTGCTAAGAAGGACTTGCAAGCCACAAGAGCCCTCAAGCAACACAAAACTTTTATAGTCTCTGTCCACGGTGTGAAAAGAATATAGCAAGTCTATTTGGAAACAAAGCAAAGCTTTTCTATTCCCCTTTTTTTTTATACTCAGCTGCAAGTGTAGCATCTCTGACCAGCCGTCCTTGAGCTCCTATAGGACTGGGGAAGCAGGGCCTTGCAAGCCCCGCTCCCTGCCTGTCTGCCAGTGAGGGAAGCACAGACTGAGTACAGCAGAGAGGAGCTGGGAGGTGCAACCTGAGCCAACAGAAAAGTTTTCTTTCAGTCCCCCTGCAGCTGGGTCCTTGCTCCAGGAGTGATGTTATATTTTTAGGTGGTATTTAATCAAATAGCCATTTATTCATAAGAAAACACTTGAACTGACTGCTAGGCTATTTTTCTTGACCAGTGCTAAAGTATAAATATACTAAGCTGGGAACAAATTCTGCCCTCATATGTACAGATACAACTCCCAGTTGATGCAGTGGGACAAATTGCTGCCCTTGCTTAAAGTCAGTGGGATTGCACAGAAGTTGAACACCATGCCTAGTTTAATAGGCCCCAGGGATGCACTGAGCGCAAAGACTTCCTTTCAGCTCAGACATAGAAAAGAATCTGCTATCTCTTGTCCTTTGCTCCTGACTGAGAGATCACTGATGCAGATAGCAGTTAATTTTCCTTGGATCCACACAAAACAATGTCATTGACATTGTAATTTACTCATTCTTTGCCTCTTTGGCAAGGCTTATTTGTTCTTCTCTCTGCTGCTATTTATATATTGCATTTTCATCCCTTTAAGCAATGTGCTCCTCTCTCCAGCCTCATGGCAGAGACAAAGACTGTGATTTCATGGACACTTTAGTGTTGAAGTAGTGGTTACTCCTACTCCGGAGCCCAGCCTGCAATGGGTGCTTCTTTTTATCTGCGCAAAGCAGGCACAGCCGGGCAGTGGACCAGATCAGGGGACAGATCTGGGTTCAAACTAAGCTGGTAAATGTTTAGTTGATTTTATCCTAGATTCATTCCCTAGGAAGATGTATTTTGTTCTTTAGCCTCATACATGTTTTTGCCATGACAAATGAGGGAGCAGACATGGATAGCAACAAGTAGCTCCCAGCACGCAAAGAGACTGGAGTCTTCCATAGAGTTAAATTATATCAGTCTCCTTTCCCATAAAATACCTGGCTCAGCTCTTCTGTTCACTTGTTCCTCTCCGAGATTTGCATGCTGTTTATCGTCAGATAAGTGAAAAACACAACATTTAAAATATCTGAGGTATTTCTCTGGGCTTCAAATATATGGGTGTGTTATATGTGTAATAGCTGAGACCCATCAGCATGTGCATTACCTCCAAGTATGAAGAGCCAGTTTCTCTATTTATGTACAAGAGTTACCACTGTTATTGTAGAAATCCAGTGCCATGGATTCACAATTAAAGTGTGTGTGTAAATATACTGCCCTCAAACCGTTTGTATATGCTCCAGCGACTTCATTGGGCAGTTTGGTAACAAAGGGCCTCCTTAGACTCTTCTTATTTAAAATTCACAAAAGTTAACAGTTTAAAAACTGCAAATTTGAGGGACTCTCTGCGTCTATAAGGGCCCCACAGTTACGGTCAGTCTAGGCTGAGTTCTTTACGAAGTCAGTGATTTAGTGGTTAAGGCTTATTTGGTTTTCTGTGGTGGGCTAAGAGCACATATGCAATCCATTACTCTGCCTCAGCGGACAAGAGGCAACTTCTCAAGATATGTTACCTGGATTGCTTACTGACTTGAAAACGTAACCCTACCATATTAAAGGTGTAATAAAAAGTTTCCTACCATATCTGCAATTATTGCCATGCTATGTGTTATGTGAATAGTAATAACTGAGAGATATCAGCATGAACTTTGCTAGAAACAGCTCTAATACAGCTTTGTAAGCTACTTTTTGAGCTGAATGAAGTAAAAGGCTTACCTTTCAAACATTTCATCTCCAGGAAACATGAGTCTTTTTAGTGCACTTCAAAGCCTTGGCCAACTGGAAAGGCCAACTGGAAATAGACTCTATAGGAAACCGCTGTAGAATCCGTTTGGAAGCTGACTCTAGCACAGGAGTTTAAAGAAATGGATTTGGCATCTAAAAAGAGGTTTTGTGGAATCAACACTTTCTAAGCAGAGGACAGAGAGAAATTTGGCAAGGTTTGTGCATGTATTAGAGAGATTTTACATCACAAAGGAGTAGCCCCAGATCTTCTAATTCCCTGAGCCAACTCAGCTTACAACCGACTTGAAGGTCTCCCCTTCACAGGTCTATGATTTAAACAGTGCTGTGTAGCCTAGGCCACAGTCTCTACCTGGGTAGGTGAGCGTTAGAGACTGTGAGAAAACACAAACATCCAGAAAGCCCCTATCGTTTGTTGCACTACCCTGTGATTTTCTGCATTCCTTACTACCCACTAGCCAAAGATAAAGCTTTATTAAAGAGAGTTGTCAGAGAATTAGCATGGGAGTGTTGAGAAAGGAGTAATTATGCCTGCTTTAGGTTATTCAAATTGAAACACTTTTTAAAAGGAATCATTTGGAAATGGAAATCAATGATGGTTGGCATCATACTCAGAACATTGCTTTGAGACACAAAGTACACAAATGCTTTGCTGATATTTTGGACACCACGTAGGAGAACTTTCCAAGTGATTTTCCATCTTGTAGCAAGAAAAATACTGCTTCAGCCTTATACATTTTCTTATTTACTTGTGGACATTTATTTGTAGCTTAAGCAAGTATCAGCAAAGCATGAATGCCTACAGCAGATCAAAATTAGCAGCAGAGAAGGACATAGTGCTGACACTTTAAGCACAATTTTGTCTGTTGAATTTGGAAAGAATGGGATACTCTGTATAACACAAACAATATCTTTTTTTCTTTAGTTGGTTAGGGATGAGAATGGTTGTCTTTAGCTTTCTTTTCTCCTAACAATTTGGCTGTGTATATCTTCTTATATTCCCGTGTTAAAACCTAGGGCTAAATCAAGATGTTGCTTAATTGACAATTTAAGCTAGACATTAGTGAACATAACAGAAGGCAATGTAGCAAGTCACCCCACAAACAAAACATAACAACAAAGTGAAAGCTGTACTACCTTACCTACCGCTTTTTATTGCTTTTGTTTTACTTTTTCTTACTCTACCTACTTCCTTCCTTCAATCACAAGTTGCTTCTGCATACACTGAGTTTCTCATATGTATAATAGTTTACACCAGTTCCATCTATTCCAAATAGATCCTTGATTTTTGACGGTGTGAGCACACGCACTGCATGTATAGCTACATGACTGGAGAGTATCGGGAGTCTGTGCACATCCAGATTGGTGAAGTACCAAGGCAGATTAGACCTGGGCCAAGTGACCTTGTTTTTTTAGGCATCTAAGACGCCTCAAAAAGGTCCGTCATCAAGTGAAAGCATCTCTTGGAGTGCAAGGCACATGGCGTTACAAAAGCTTAGCTGAGAAATCACGCCACAGGTCATTCCAGGTAACTCCTCCTCAGCAATAGGCACAGCCATTTATACACTAGCAGGTTGCTGTTTGGAGTCAGACAGAAATAACTGCAGCTAACAGCAGTGGCCTGTCTAGAGTATCGACCAGGATGTCCTGGGCACTTTCAGACGTTTAGGAAGGAGTAGTTCCCACCACGAGCTTACCTCTCATGATAGGCAGCTGGACAGATACTAAAAGAAACAATTTTCAGCTACACGGAAAACTCAGTTTCAATCAATGATTTTTCATGACAACTGGGGCAATGCAGTCCGTGGAGTCCAGTGTATCGGACAGGGCATTTTTGCTCCAGGGAAGCCGGCTACGGAATCATTTCCCAAAAACTAGCTGGCAACAGGAGAGCCTGACTGCCTGGAAGAAATGTTGCAAAATTACTTTTGTGCTCTCTCCTGTAAGTGATACTCAGTACAAATCACACTCCTACTCCATTACAAGCCATGCAAAAATTCCCCCCCCCCCCCAAAAAAAAAAAAATCACTATTCCAAATCCCTGCCTCAATCAGAGTTATGATCTTAGAGGCAAGACACACTGGTAACTTCTCAAAGGATGCTAGGACTTTGCTATCATTGTTTCTCTGGGCAAAGATCATGGACAATAACCAATGCAAACAATTAGCATGCATTCCCAACCTGTTTTCTGTGAGAACAAGACTTTGCCTCTAAACAGGTAATCTTGTGGAAAAGTGTCTGCTTTTTCCAAAAAGGTAAACTTTTAATATTTTGCTTTTTTTTTTTGCGAACAAAATAATCTTTTTTTTGTAGTAGATGCCAAACACTACAGGGTTTTTTAAATGTCTGTCTCTCTGTGTAGGGCTTGAGTCTACCTGAAAAATGAGCAAAACTGAAAATTTCAACATACTTGTAAATAGCTGGTTTTGTCCCATTGATACAGCAAAGTCTCATTCTATGAGAGCAAAACTCAATTTGCCCCCATCTCCTGAGGTGATGCCTCGTCCAGGAGCTGGGGAAATGCCTCCAAAGTGCCCTATGCTGCAGAAAGGAAGGTGGCCCTGGACAGGGCTCTGTTAGAAGGAATATGGCATATTTTCCTTGCTATCTTTTCCCCTCTTCATCATGTGACCAACAAATGGTGTCTTGCCCATCAATTATCTGGAAAACTTAACAAGTTTAATCAGGAAAAGAAAAAATTCTC